CCAGAAAGAATGGCTGCTATCATGAAATCAACCAATAACAAATGCTGGTGGGGCTGTGGGGAAAAAGGAACCCTGCTCCACTGCTGGGGGGAGGGTAGACTGGTGCAACCACTGTGGAAATCAGTATGGAGATACCTCAAAGAACTAGGATTGGAAGTCCCATGTGACCTAACTCTTCCCCTGCTGCTTATCTTTCCCCCCAAATTAAAAGAATCATACCACAGTGATGTATTTGCACCCATGCTCATAGAAGCACAGTTTGTAATAGCTAAAACTTGGAAACAGCCCAATTGTCCATTAACTGGAGACTGGATCAAGAAAATGTATGGTTTTTTAATAAAATGGAGTACTACTCATCCATAAAGAATGAAAACTTAGAGACATTTATAGCTAAATGGATGCATATTGAGGCCATATTCTTGAGTGAAATAAATAGGACACACATGTGTAAATACCGAATAGTTTCTCTGGTGTGAGAAATTGAAAGTGTAAATAAGGACTAAAAGGTACAATAGATAACGTGAAATAGGAAGAAAAGGGACAAAGAGGAAGGGGAAATGTGTGGGGTAGGGGAAAGGAAAGAAGGGAATGGAATTAATGGGAGAAAATGAAAAAATGGAAACAAAGTCTTTGTAAATAAGGAGGGGTAGAGGGGTTGAAGGGAGGGCAGGGGAATGCAGAAAAAATAAGAACCAAGATAGATTATGTAAAGCTACAAATTTCCAATGATGAATGTCACTATATTGTATACTTAAAATGTACCAATAAAATTAATTTTTAAAAAAATTTAGGTATTACAAAGTGTGTTGCTATAAACATGGATGCATATATATTATTGTGGTATGATGCTTTTAATTCTTTTGGGAAGATACTCAGCAAGAAAATAGCTGGGTCAAATGGGACCTCTAATCCTAATTATTTGGGGAGCCTCCATACTGATTTCCACAATGGTTGCACCAGTTCAAGGCCCTTTTGACAGTATTTAAAGGACCTTTAATCTATTCATTTGGAGGTAAAGCCTTTTACTCAAGTCAGTGTTTTAATGGAGGAGTAACTGAGTTACAAAAAATGCTTAATCTAAATTCAGGAAATTTTCTTCCACTAAAATTTAAGCATAGATAATAAAACTGACACTTTACAACTTGAGATGGGAATATGCAGTGGGAGTATGAGGGCATTAAATATCTACCCAACTCAGATGTGCTAATTTCCCTGTGCAAGTGTGCAGTAGTATTGTGTTGCCTGGAAAATCCATATTCCTCACCAAAGGAAAATATCATATAATATGATTCTGAAGGTTTTACCCATCTCTTTTCATGACTATTGCAATAACAAGAGCCAAATCTCTTAATGAACTGCATTGACTGAAAATGTGCACGCTTGACTACATGACTAAAGGGATTATTCATTAAAGGAGCTGCAAGACCTGGCTAGTAGGCATTCACAGATAAAACAACATCAAGAAATAAAATAGACAGGAAAATGTATTTTTATGGGAAGCTCCCTGACTTCAACATAAATCTCAGCTCCACAGAAATCAAGGCAAAGAGAGAATAATGATTAATTACATAGTCATCATCATCCACTGAAAGGAATTACTCCTGAAGGAATTAGAGTTGCTTGAGAAAAAGATTTGATCTGGAGTCTTTAATGTTATCTAATCAGTGCCTGGAATAGGATTTGGTAAAATGTAAATGTTCAATGAGTATTTGGTGAATGAATCTCAATTCTCAGAGCTACAAGGAACTTGCTTTAGCTACATTATCTTTAGTTTGAGATTTTAAATAACTAATAATGACACTTTGATGAAAATTTGTTTTGAAATGTAGCTATATTTTATATTTGGCTGCTTCTAATATGAAACTCTAAAATTCATGGGCATTACAGTAAACCATAGTTGTGGGAAGAAACTTTAATGTAAGATCAAATGGAAGCAGTCTAGGTGTACAGCTTATTGATTTAGGTACAACTTTCCAATGACTTTAACTAATAAATATTTCCTCCCAAAGTATTATAAAATAGCATAGTCTCATTTGCTTAAAAAATTTAGACATCACACCTTCTGGTATAATTACACCTTTAAGAGAGCTTATTACTTTAATTATTTAAAGGCTATATATAAAAAACTAGGTTAGGGGGAACTTTTACATGGCATACTGTATTTATAAGTTTCAAGAAAAGAGAAGCCAAAAAGTAATTAAAATAATGAAAGTGCTAGGGATTATTATCTCCAAACTATCTTTTTCTTTTTTTGAGTAATTTTCTCTATTTGATAAAATATGCTACCAAACATATCACTTCTCCAGGAAAAGGTACAAATGTGAGTATACTTGTGAACTAATGGTACTTACTTATTATTTTTGTTTTGATTTTTGAAGCAAGAGAAACATTCAGTGTAGTCTTTGAAACTCTTTTGTCTTTCACACATCTCTTAATTCCTGAGGTCACCAAGTCAGGACCCATCCCTGGAGACTCCATAGTGCTCCCCTGTGAGGTCACTGGCTCCCCTCTCCAAAGTATCTTTAAAAACAAAATAAAAAGCAAAACAAAATGAAAAACAGTACAGAAAATAATTTTAAAACTTTGATGAAAGGTTTTGTTGTTGTTGTTAAATTCTTTTATGGGTACATTGTAGGTATACAACACAATTACATTTCTCATTGGGAATTGTACCTTTACATAAAGCATCTTGGTTCTTATTTTTTCCCCATTCCTAGC